ATCATTCATGTATATGTATATTGAATAATGGTATATAAATAATCATGATTATAAAATTTAAGAATTCACATAATCACTTAAAACATTACATAATTTATATATTTTAGTTTGGTCAACAATATACTTTTAAAACTACTATTAGTTGTTTTCTATTATTTTAGTTTATTATATTAATATCATAGTTAATAAGTTATTTTGATATTTTAGAAATAATTTAGTTTATCATCAAATCTTTTTAGTTACGTAATGAGTTTAAATTTTTTTGACTTATTATAAATGTATTGAATAAAAGTTGAGTTTTTTTTTCATTCATTCTATTCATATTTTCTTTTCTTTACTTTATTTTACTTTTTTTATCATAAAACTAACAAAGTGGTATCAAGAGCTATTTTTTTATAAACCTGTGAAAATGAATGCTGAATTAAATTTCTCACAAGTAGCTCCTCTCATCTTTGATGGAGAAAATTATGACCTTTGGACTATCAAAATGGAGACTTACCTAGAGGCTTTAAATATTTGGAAAACTGTTAGAGAGGATTATGAAGTTCTTCCGTTGCCGCATGATCCTACCATAGCCCAAATAAGAAGTCACAAGGAGAGAAAAACACAAAAGGTAGAGGCAGAAGCATGTTTTTTGCTGGTATTTTAACAATTATCTTCACTAGAATCATGACTTTAAAAATATCAAAAGCAATTTGAGATTATCTTAAGAAAGAATATGCCGAGAATGAAAGAATTTGAGGCATACAAGTATTAAATTTGATGAGAGAATTTGAATTTCAAATAATGAAAGAGTCTGAAACAATCAAAGTATACTCAGACAGACTGTTTGACATAGCCAACAAGGTAAGATTACTAAGTGCTGATTTTCCTGATTCTAGAATTGTTGAAAAAATTCTTGTAACAGTATCTGAAAGATTCGAGGCTACGATCACTACCTTAGAGAATACCAAAGACTTGTCCAAAATCACACTGGTGAAACTCTTAAATGCCTTACAAGCACAAGAGCAAAGGCGTGCAATAAGACAAGAAGGTGCTGTTAAGGGAGCCTTACATGTCACACATCATGAAAGTGTAAGATACAACAAGAAGAAATCTTATCCTCCATGTCATTATTGTGGAAAAAATGATTATCCTCTTTTCAAATGTTGGAGAAGGCCAGATGTACAATGTAGTAAATGCAATCAAATAGGACATGAAGAAGTTATATGCAAAAATCAAAATCAACACTAAGATAACGAGACTAAGATCGCTCAGAATAAGGAAGAAGATCATTTATTTTTTGGTACTTGCCTCTCTGACTTTAAATCAAATAAAAGTTGGCTAATTGATATTGGTTACACTAACCACGTGACTAATAACAAAAAACTCTTTAGAGATTTAATGCCGACTAATATCACTAAAGTCAAAATAGGTAATGGTGATTTCATTCCAGTCAAAGGAAAGGGAACAATTGCAATAGCAAACTATTTAGGCACGAAATTAATTCATGATGTTCTTTGGGTTCCTAAAATTGACCAAAATTTGTTAAGTGTTGGTCAACTGATTGAAGGGGAATTTAAAGTTATTTTTGAAGATAACCATTATTTGATTAAAGATAAAGTTGGTCAAGATATTTTCAAAGTAAAAATGAAATAAAAAAAATTTACTCTGAATCTGTCGAAGGAGGAGCAAACAACTTTCTCATGCAAAAGAAATACCACAACATTTTATCTTAATACCTTGAGTGCTAAAAGTAAATTTTCTAGTTTCATTCATAATACAAATGAAAGACATCTCAAAGTTGCAAAGAGAGTGATTAAATATTTCAAAGACACTCGTAACTCAAGCATCAACTTCAAGAGAAATGAAAATTTTAAGTTGACTGATTTTTCTAACCGTGATCTAAGTGACTCCCTTTTCTATGGCAAAAAGAATATTCTATTTAATTCTAATTTGAAGTAAAAGGAGAACACAAAATTCTTATTGACAACAAATTTATTTTTTGTTAGCAAGTTTAAATAAAATTTGCAGTTCAAAAAAGTAAGGAGAAGTTTTTACAATATGCTTTTGAAACTGCTATTAGTTGTTTTCTATTATTTCAGTTTATTATATTAGTATCATAGTCAATAAGTTGTTTCGATATTTTAGGAATAATTTAGTTTATTATTAAATATTTTTCGTTACGCAATAAGTTTAGGTTTCTTTAATTTATTATAAATGCATTGTTGCTATTGAATAAAAGTTGAGTTCTTTCTTCCTTTATTCTATTCACATTTTCTTTTCTTTACTTTATTTTATTTTTTTATCATAAAATCAACAAGTTCTAATAAAAATCTAAACATAATTATATTTTATTACTTTAATTTTATGTTTAGTTTTATAAAGATAGGGTAATATTTTGTTTATTTGCTAAATTATAATAAATATGGAATGAGTTTCTCTAAGTTACTTTATGGATTGAATAACTCCATCTATAAAATAAACTTGATCTTAGCCAAAAGGCTGAAAAAGGTATAATTTAAAATAAATTAATAATATTAAAGTTTTATATTAAAAATATATATTAATATATTATCTTTAATAAATAATTTCATTAATCCATTGAGATGAAATTATTTGTATAATAAATTAACTCAAAATAACCCCCCAAAAGAATATACATTTTTGTTATGGAGTAGACGCAAAGCCATTCACCCTCACGTTGCAGAGCATGTTACAAACCCTTTCGAAAATAATATAAACAACGTTAGCTTTTAAACACATGCAAATATAGTTAATTTTTATTAAAATAAAAAAATTTACATTTTAATATATAACTATGTATTTATTTAGTAAAAAATTATCATTTTAAACACATATGCAAATACAGTTAGTTTTCATTAAAAATAACATTTATACATTTTACTTTTTTAATATGATAAATATTTATTTATTTAATCAAATTTTATCACTTTAAAATACTTTAAATTAATTCTGAAGATTCACGTTAATATTTTTCTGATGAAGAAAGTGTGTTCATGCCAACAAATCCAATTCACTAAACGCAACGAAATACAAATTTCCTTTGCATGAACTAATTAAAATTTAACTCTTGTAAATAAAATCTTAGGAGTTGTTTGAGAGACAATTTATTTTAAAAAAATATTTTAAAAAATAATAAAATTAATTATAATTTATGATAATAAATAATATGTTAATTTTTTGTTAATATATTATTTTATTCTTTTTATTCTAAAAATTCATAAATTAAAATTTATTTATGTAAATTATTGAATTTGTCCTTTTTTTGTTTTTTCCTCAAAAAAAAAAACTACCTTTTTCAAACAACTTTAGTGTTCCAAAATTATCAGTAAACATGCATCGTCCAATATCGTCGTTGTTATAGTGAATGTGTTAAGTATGACTTATTGTATATATTAAAAAAATAATTATACTGGTGTAATATGTAGAATAAATTAATTTTTTTAAGTCAATATTTTGAATTATAATACCTCTATAATATAAAATTTATTTTTATTATATATTTTTAATTTTAATTGTTAAAATTATTTTAATATATTATATTCATTACCCCATTTTTTGATCATTTTTCCTGTTTAAGACTATTATAATTTTTTATATTCTTTTTTTAAAAAAATTAACTAAAATTTTAAAATTTAAATTTAAATGAATGAAAACATGAAAAATCAAGAAACATATACAATAATTAAATTAAAATAGGTTTTTAAAAATTGAAATGCTATGTGATAATTTATTAAAAAAATTCAAAATATGAAAAATAATATAAAATATTAAACATATAAAAATTAATAAATATATAAGTAACATAATAAAAAATAATTCAATTAAATAAAATAATTAAATTAAAAATAAAAGCTTGAAAAATATCATGTAAAACATTAGTAATATGTATAGATATGAAATCTATACTTGACACATAACTTTATTTTTTATTATTATATATTGTGAAGTTGTTTAGCTACGATTAGAATAAAAAAATTTGTGTTTGATAAGTCATTCTCACTAAATAGATTTACTTTTATATGTTTCATATTTTTAAAATGCGACTTCAACTATGTTAATAAACAGATTAAAAAAATTATTTTTTATTATATTAAATATTACTTTTTATGTATTTAGTGTTTTTTAAGTAGGACATGTACTGATTTAGCAAATAATATAAAAGTTGCAGCATTTTAATACAATTGAATACGAAGCTCATTACTATTTTAGTAAAAAAAAATAAAAATTAACAAATGATGTTGTTAGAATTCATATGCTGTCCATTATTATATTGCCTAGAAGGCTAGAAGAACATGCATCGTTTAAACGAAATGGTGTGTTTTTGAATAAGTTAAGCTTTAACATTTTTTAAAACGCTAGTTTACGTTATAGTTTTAAAAATAAATATAAAATATATAAAAATAAGTTATAAATATTTTATTTTGATCATAAAATTATATGTGAAAAAATTAAAAGAAATATTTTTATTAAAAAAATATTTATTACTTTAAAATCTTAAAAAATATTTAATATATATTTTTATAATAATTTAGAATTTTTAATAAAGTGCATGTTATATATTTTTTAACATGTATCTTATACGAGTATATTAAAGAACCGCATTTTAAGAATCTTAATTAAAATTTATGAGATTTTTTAAAAGAATTTATAAAAAATTATAAAACAATTTATAATTTCATAAATTATGTTAACTTATTTTAATATATTTATTAAAATAAATTTTATAATTAAAGTCATAATATAAGTTATTATTATATTTTTAAAAATAATTTATAAAAAAGCTTATAAAAATAATGTATAATTTTCATAAATTATTTTAACTTATTTTAATATATTTATGAAAATAAAATTTATAATTAAAGTCATAATATAAGTTATTATTTTTAAAAAATATTAAATAAATACTTTTAAAAAATTATATACCCAAATGCATTCATGAAAATTGTAAAAAAAAAAAAATCATCAAAAGAAACTGAAAAACTAATGAGTAACTTGAACTAAACAATCAAATTACGGCAGAGAAGTAAAATTGTGGGGGAAAAGGAAGGGTTTGAGAATGGAGAGTGTTCGGACTTGGACAAGATGGGAAGGGAAGAAACATGATCCTATCAATTTTGAATTTTGACTCTCAAATTCACAATCGTTTATCATCTACGCAATCGCTCTTGCTAATGTCGATCTCCTCAATATTTTGATGTTACTGGCTGCATGCTACTTTACTCTCTTCAGTTCAATCATCTCCACCGTTTACTTCCTGCACAAATCTGATTTCTGGGCAATCACAATATTTCGAAATTTTGGGTATGTATCAAAATTGTATCTTTCTCCCTGGTATGTTGTTTGGTGATGCTTCTTTGTTTTATTGAATATGCTGACCTTTTACTTCAGTTTTTTCATTTTTCGTGTGCGTGTTTTATGCTAATTTCCCCCTTTGAGATATCTTGGAAGTTATGTTTATGAAGATTTATGCATGCATATTTTATTGGCGTAACGAAAACAAAAACAACTTTAATTTCCTAATGTTTTAGTTTGTGCTTATTAGAGAAGGTAGTAAAGGAAAAGAGGGATTGAAGGGTTTTTCTTTAACATCTTGAAGCTTCCTTGAGAGAGTGAGATAGGGAAAGTGTTGAAAATCATCATACTTTCCTCTTACTTAGTAGGATTGAACATTATATAGGAAATTGTTAATTGGAAGATTGAAACTCAATTTCATACTATAAAGGTGTGGCACAAATTTGTTAGCGCAGATTGGGAATGAGCTTACCCTTCGTTTTCTATCGGTTCTACATTTTCCTTGGTTCCAAGCAATGTGATGTCCAAACCATTCCAATTCTTCTATCACCTCATTTACTGCCTTCTCATTTACATATAGCCTCAGCAAATAGTAATTCACATAAATAATAATTTGACTTTTGCAAATAGGAGTTGAGGAGCAAATTGGTGTATTGTATGATGATTTACATTTTGCTTCATGTGGTACTTTTGGTAAAGATGCTTAGGATCAGATTTGGTCTTTTGGTTTCATTTTCCACACTTTTCTCTCCCCTGCTCTTCTTTTATTTCCTACCGACACCTACCAAAACACTGGATGTTTTAGTGAAGTATTGGTTTTAAGCTTGAACAATTGAGTGATCAATATCAGGGTAGTAAATTGTCTGCAATAATGTTTGATGCATACTAAGCATTCTATTTCAATATTTCATTTTCTTTTCAAAGTATCCATTAGTGCCAAAATGATTTTCTAGATAATATTTGCTTGACTTTTGCCTTTGCCTGCAGTGATGACGGAAGCAGATTGTGGAAATGATTGTGCCAAATATGTGAAGATGGAAAATATTTCAGTGCCCCCTGGTTTTGCATCCCTAACGTCTTTTAAATTGAAAAGGAGTGGAAAAGTTAAGGAAACCAATAAATCTACAAGCTTTCCAATTGCATCTGAACAAGAGCCGATCCACATGGATACTAAACCTGAGATGAATGACATTGCTGCCTATAAACAGGTTATTATGCACCGGCCATGGATAATCTCAGACCAGAGATACCACAAACCTGAGGAATCTCACATGGAGCGTCCTCCAATGGTAAAACTGGGAATCTTGCTGTTTTTATTGGGTTAATGATTAGATTACTCATTACTAATAAATTCAAACTAGAAAAGGCATACTCCCAATGGGCAGATAGTGGCTCTCGGTACCCCATAAGGTGAATGCATTCATATTTTATGCCCTGAATATTGATTCTAAAATGAGATGCTTGGACAAGAATGTGGAAATATGAATAAATTTTAATGATTTTGTTCATTCAAAAAATCAGTTCTGTTGTTTGCTTTATATTGAGTAATAATTTTCAGCAATTAATACAAGAGACCTTATAAGTCCTTAGGTGGCAGGTAACCTACAATAATTGGAACGGAATATTGCTGAATGCTGATCTTATCTTCTTGTTCAAAGTTCTGTATTGTTATTAGGACTCTGATTTCTGTGCAGTATTTAAACTTCTTATGTTCTTTTGTGATGTGTCTGGTGGTTTGGCTCAGGATTGCAGGACTTCTTGGATATTGTTCTAGAATTAGGAAGTATGTCATTACTGATACTGGTAGAATCACACACACAAACATATATATAAATGACTACAGTTATGAATTACTCAGTGGCTGACTTTGATAGAAACAAATTATATATGCTGTGTTATTAATCAGATTATGTAGTAAAACTGAGTAAAAGAGCTCAAGCTCTACAATGCTAAGGTAAATTTTCCAGAGTTAGTAATTGACTCCTCCAGAGAGTAAATTCTCCTTAGCAAAATCTACAATATTCTTGTCTACCTCACTCTCACTCCCTTCTCTCCTCATATACCAGAATTCTCTTATTTCCTTGATTCCTTTCACGTCACCTCCCCTCTAACTAACTAATCATTATTCCCTGGCCCCATTTTCTGTCTCCTAGTATAAACTGTCCATACATTGGACTTTTGTAAAACTGTCTCTTCTCCAGACACATCACCCTTCCTTATAGTATTTGCCATATTTGGCACCCTATCAGACTTGATATCAATTTTTCATGTGCTTTTGTGTGCATTATCTCATGACTGATTTCTCTTTTAAGTACTAAGGCAACATTAATTGTATCCTTTTTTTTCTTTTCAGGATCTCCCTTTAAATGCTTGTCGTCCAAAAGGGACCATACAGGGATGTCCAAACTGCAGTGAGAGTCTAAAGGTATTTGACTTTCCACATTGTGACAGTCACAACCATGCCTCTTATATTTTTGTTGGTTGGTTTGTTTATCAAAGTCTTGAACCAGGTAACAGCAAGGTGGCATCCTGAGGATGCAAAAAGAGAAATTCTGGAAGAAGCTCCTATTTTCCACCCAACAGAGGAGGTACCTACCACATAAACATAACAGTGTGCTTATTTACACTTGTGTTTCAATGTACACGTCTTGATTTATGTCATCAAATGTCGATTCATATGCTTGTTGAGTTTGTAGAATAAATGTTTGAGTAATTGTATGCGTACTACATTATGAAGGAATTCAAAGACACACTTAAATATATTGCAAGCATACGTTCCAAAGCAGAATCTTATGGAATTTGTCGTATTGTCCCACCTCCTTGCTGGAAGCCACCGTGTTTTCTTGAGGAAAAGGGCATATGGGAAAGCTCCAAATTTGTTGCTCAGATTCAGAGAATTGATGGACACCAAGTTCACTGTGCACAAGACATAATGGGAAGCTCCTGTGAAAGTACAAGAACCAATAGAAGTAGAGACATAAAAGTCACTTTGGACTCTCAGCTTGATAATAGAAACACTTCTCAGAATGTTGAACGCTGTGACTGTGAGTCTGAACCTGGCCTTAAATTCAGTCTCAAAACATTTAAGAAATATGCCGATGAATTCAAGACCCAGTACTTCAATTACAAGGATAAGAATAAGATTATGGGTTCTGATATAAATTTAGCTGTATGTCAACAGCAGTGGGAACCATCTGTGGAAAATATTGAGGGTGAATACAAACGAATTGCTCAAAATCCAACTGAAGAAATTGAGGTATATTGAAGAAAATGAAGTGAACATGCAGTGCCTTTTACGTCTTCAGTTTTGATTTCATTGTGCAAATTCAAAATCATGTCATGCTACATTGTTCTAGGTGCTTTGCAGTAACACTTTGGAGGCTGGAGTTTTTAGCAGTGGATTTCCTGCAGTTTCTGATCCTTTGGAGGCATACACTTACCCTGAATATTTGAAATCTGGATGGAATTTAAATAATATGCTTTCACTTCCAGGTTCCCTTCTTTCATTTGAAAGCTCTCAAGCTTCACATAACTTCTCCCCTCGGGTTCATGTGGGAATGTGCTTCTCTCCACTCAACTGGGTAATGCCATAGCTTTATTGCCTTATACTTGCATGCACATCACATCTATGTTTATATCTCTTATGTCCTTTGGTTGGACTAATTTTCAAGTGTAATTAATGAGTCTCTTATGTTTACTTTTCTTTCAAACCACTTGACAAAACAGAAAGTTGAGGAGCACCACTTATACTCATTATCTTACATGCATTTGGGTGAACCAAAAGTGTGGTATAGCGTCCCAGCAAGGTTTTCTGTTAACTTTGAAACAATTTGGAAGAAGTATCTCCCAGATCTGTGTGCAGGACAGCCTGATATGCACAATAAACTGGTGAGAACATGTTCATTATGATCTCTGCCAACCGTTGTTGCAGCTTGCAATAATATTTCTTTGGTTGCATGATTTGGCTCTGTTGGTAAAGTCTTCTATAATTGTAGCCATCAATCTGTGATAGAGAATAGAAGTAGAAAATATTATTCTTCAACTCCTTCATTCTCAGTGTATGTATAAGTTCCTTTTCACCTGAAATACAAGGTCTATACTTTTGTTTTAATTTTGAAATGCCTAAGGGGAATACTACTATTTGATATGTGAAACATTGAGGTTTTCATGTGAATATTTGGTACAGGTGATGCAATTATCTAGCTCCATATTGAAGGCAGCGGATATACCCGTATATCGTTGTGTTCAATGTCCTCGTGAATTTGTTCTCGTCTTCCCCGGAGCATATCATTCTGGATTTGATTGTGGTTTCAACTGTTCTGAAGCAGTAAGTTTTGCTCCTCTTGAGTGGCTGCTTCATGGACAGAATGTTGTAGAGCTATATTGTGAACAAAAGAGAAAGACAATTATTTCATACGATAAGCTTTTACTACAAGCAGCAAGGGAAGCTGTGAGGGCCAAGTGGGAAGCTGATCTGTGTATGAAGAGCACATCTGAAAATTTAACATCTAAAGATGTCTATCAAAGAAATGGGATCTTAACAAAAGCTTTGAAAGTAAGCCCTTCAGTCCTAAATCCTAGTTTTTTTTAGTTTGTTTATTAGTCAACTCAAAATCCTGCTGATCATCAACATTTATTCAATCTTATAACAGAAGCACAATTTTTTTTTTAATAATGAAATAAAGTTCTGAAGGCCTTTTTTTCCCTCCATTTCCTTTTTTCTGGGTTCAGATTTGGCTGCACCGCTTTATTCCTTCATGTTTGGTGCCTGACATTCAATCTTATTATATTTGTTTATTTTGTGTAGTCTCGCGTCCAAAGTGAAACTTTGAAGAGGAAATTTCTTTGCACTTCTTTAGTATCACAAAGAATGGATGAAAATTTTGATGCCACTTGTAAAAGGGAATGTAGTATTTGCCTTCGTGATTTGCACTTATCTGCTGTGGGTTGTTCATGTTCAGAAGACAAGTTCGCATGTCTTGATCATGTAAAACAGCTTTGTTCTTGCACTTGGAGCAACAAAACTCTCCTCTACCGTAATGAAATCAGTGATTTGGAAATTCTTTGTCGTGCTGTGGATGGAAAACTAAGCGCAGTCTATAGATGGGCCAAAGAGAATCTTGGATTAACTCTGAGCTCTGTTGCCTCCAAGAGATTAAAACAAAGCCCAGAAATTTTAAATGATTCAACTCACCCTTCTTGTAAACGACATAAATTGCGGGAAACCCCGAATTCATCAAAAAAGAAACAAAATGAAGTGGTTTCCCAAGTTGTAGGAACTTCCGGTGGCACTGATGGTACTTCTTATGGCATTCATTCAAAAAAGAAGACAGCTTCACTTCAGAAAATCATTTCAAATGACAAGAAAGGAATCAATTCCCTTGGCACCAAAAGTGATAAGAAGGCTCCTGAGGGTAAGTTTTCGATTTCAAAGAAAGTAGGAGACCCAAAAGAATTTGAGGTTTCTCCATTTACAAACTCACGTTACTTGTCTTTTTTACAAGAAAACAAGTTATTTGATGTTTCATATGATAGTTCGAGCATGTCTTCATCTTCAGAATCTGACAATGATAAATAGCTGACGGCTAAACTTTTGTCATAGAAAGGAAATATTTGAGTCCTTTTTAGGTTTACCTGTGTAGGATAATCCTTTTGCCATACAAAGATCGGCACTAGAAATTTGGATGATACTTCCATGAAGAATTCCAGGTTTCAACGAATCATAACTTTCTCCCTCATTATTTATATGAAATACAAAACCCAAAGCCCGAAATGTCAGCTCAGATTCCTAAAGAATTTCAAATATGCTGGAATTATACTCGGCAGTTTTATAATTCAGATTAATTTAATTATATGTATTTTAAATTTAACTGCATATATAAATAGTGGTGCATATTCTTCTATTCACCTATGATTTCTTCGAGTAACGTTACTCTCAACTATAGACCGAAAACCTATTGGCACCATTCATCACTTTCCATTCTTAGTTCTACTCTGTCCACATTGAAGGCCTGAGTCAGGAATAAACACGTGAAAATAATACTATGCTTTCATGTTGAAGGAAGTAGCAAGTGGTTGCAATTATAATTCAAATGATTTAAATTATAATTCAAATGATTTAAAATTATGAAATGATATTTTTATTATATTAAAATTTTATGAAATTAGACTTTGAAATTGTAATTATATGTTTATAAAAATTTCCAAAATGTTATAATTATAATTTTAATGTCCAGTTTCAGACTCTAATTGTACATATTTTCATGCATCAAATAGATACTTTAAAATGAAAAGATCGTCTTATTATTAGCGATTAAAATAAAGAAGTATAATCATGAATTGAAAAATTAACAATTAAAAATTGTGATTTATTTTACATGTCAAACAAATTGTATAATCATTTGAATTTTAGTTATTATTTTTTAATCAATAATTATAATTTATTATTTCTTTAAAGTGAAAATTCACTTTTAAAAAAGTTAAATCCTAGTATATAATTTAATAAAAAAAATAAACACATATAATAGAAATATCTTATTTGAATCAGAGGTGGGAAAAATTCTTATCAATGTTTCTTGTTTTAAAAGGAAATTTAATTTTCTTTTGGCAACAATTGCAGAGGGTCGATTAGAAATCGCAAGGGAAGGTGGCATTCCCTTAGCAGAGATATAGTTAAGAAACATATTTAGCATTTTTATTTACATTATAAATATTTTAAATTTTTAAGATGACTTTATAACATTTTTTTATTTATGATGTGTATATAAATAATTACTATGGATTTACATATTTGAAAAATGACGAGAAAAATAAATTGGTGAGAAATCTCTTGGTTTAGGTGAATAAAGCAATTTTATTTGAGTTTAACGGCGGCACCGACGCTGGTTTTGTTACCGCGTAAATTAATTGGAATTCCAGCATTGATTGAATGGTGTTATTAATAAGCAGAGAGAGAGAGAGAGAGAGAAGATGTTCCATTCTTGTCTTGTGATCAAAGGAGAAGGAACAGATAAGCACTCTTCTTCGAATTCCCTCTGTCTCTGGAAATGGGTTCTCTGCCTGCATTTCCACCCTCGCCATCCAAACAAGGCGTTAGCGAGAGCCACATTGACGAAAGCACCCTCTCAGGCCTATTCAAATCGCAGCAGAGTCATCTCAACTTCTTCTTCGAACACATCGACCACTCCCAAACCCTAGCATTCACGCGCGCCCTCCTCCACACCGCCGGCACCGTATTCTTCACCGGCGTCGGCAAATCCGGCTTCGTCGCCAATAAGATCTCCCAAACACTCGTCTCTCTGGGCATCCGCTCCGCCTTCCTCTCTCCGGTCGACGCTCTCCACGGCGACATCGGAATTCTCTCCTATCGCGACGTCCTCGTCCTCCTCAGCAAGTCCGGCGCCACCGACGAGCTCCTCCGTCTCGTGCCCTGTGCCAAGGCCAAGGGCGCACACCTCATCGCCCTCACCTCCGTCGAAGGCAACGCGTTGTCGGCGATGTGCGACATGACCGTGCATTTGCCTCTCCAGAGAGAACTCTGTCCCTTCAACCTCGCTCCGGTGACTTCCACCGCCATCCAGATGGTGTTCGGCGACACCGTGGCCATCGCACTCATGGAAGCGAAGAATCTCACCAAGGAAGAATACGCCGCCAACCATCCCGCTGGCAAGATTGGGAAGAGTCTCATCTTCAAGGTCCGTTTCCGTTTCATTTTCCATCTCCATTCGTCTCAAATGATGTTTTCCCCTTCGTAATTGGTGATTTGAATGCGTTGCAATAGGTGAAGGACTTGATGAAGAAACAGGTGGAGGTTCCGATTTGCAGGGAATCGGATTTGATTATGGATCAACTCGTAGAGTTAACTAGTAAAGGGTGTGGATGCCTTCTTGTGATAGATGAAGGTTACCATCTGATTGGAACGTTCACGGACGGCGATCTGCGTCGCACTCTTAGGTCAAGTGGAGAAGCCATTTTCAAACTCACTGTAGGGAAAATGTGCAACAGGTAACATAATTGTTGTTGTTCAATGGTTTATTCTACTCTTGTGAAGATGTATTGAATTGTATTTTATGAGTGTTAGGAATCCGAGAACTATTGGTCCAGAGGCTATGGCAGTGGAGGCAATGAAGAAGATGGAAGCGCCTCCATCGCCAGTGCAGTTTTTGCCTGTCATAAATGATGACAATATCGTGATTGGGATTGTGACGTTGCATGGTTTGGTTTCGGCTGGGTTGTGAATTTTGATGTCATTATTTATGTCAGATTCGTTTTTTGCATTCGTTTATTGAATGGATCATTCTTTCTAGTTTTTACATAATAGTTGCATCTGAATCCACCCAATTTCGAGTGTGATTTAGGGGTTCTTTGATTACTGTATCACCTTAGGATTCAGAAGCATTCAAAAGGATACCGATTACTCGGTGCCATGTCAAACCTACCCCACATAGCGTGCTTGTGTTAATTGTGGATGTAAGAATTTTCAGGTGTAATATATACTCTACTGCTGTAACTGAACTTGATATTTTAGGCTTCTCTTTTATGCTGTTAATTTATAGTATATTAATAATTGTCTCAAAAAAATAATTTATTTTTGTGCTAAGATTGTTAAGGACCTACCATTTGATGATTTTGACTTTATTTCCTAATACGATCAAAATTTTCCTTTAGTTGTTGGACCCTCTGCGTCAGGCTTTTCAGGTAGCATTGTTGGGAAACAGCCATGTCATGAAGAAGAAGGACTTCAGTGACCATTCTACTTTATTCTTTTTTAATGTATCATTGGTGTTTTAGTATTTCTTTCCCCTTTTGTTTTGTTGGCTTTAATGGCTTGGTTTCTTTCTAGAGGAGATGTCTGTTTTCAAGAGCGGTAAGTTAATCTGAAGCTTTAGCATGGCAAGATGTGAACATAAAACAGCGTTTTGTTAGAGTCATAACTGATGTTGTCATAAGTCACTGTTGTACATATTCATACGTATGGTATAGAATTTTGTAATCTACAATGTATGATTGTACCTTATTCTGCTTGTGAATATTCTCTTTTAATATTTATTCGACCCAGTATCATTCAATTATTTCACTGTGACTTGTATAATAATTATAATAATCCATGCTAAGCATGTGGATTGTTGAACTCAATGCAGAGTTGATTATTGTTACAATCAACAGCGTACCAATTTGAGAATAATTTGGCCTTGGGATTGTTGTATTATCGTTATTTGTGGTTGATATCTCATTGGTTAGCTGTTAGATTGAATTATCTGTCATACATCTACGTTTGGCATCATTAGCTTCACTCAAACACATTCTTCTTTTGTTGCACTTGTCATATTTTGCAACATGAAAAACAACGCATATTTCGGTGCTTCACGGAGAGGTGGGTGAGAAATGATATTTTAACATCAAAGCGTATTTTTAGAAAGTAAAATTCCAAAATATGTAATGAATGGAGTAAAAACTACAAATTGAATGTACAAAAGAAACCTCATTTTACTTTTTCGTCGATGGACCTTGTTCTTATTTTTGGGTCAAGAGATTTTGTTCAATAAGGCCCAATTCCTATCCCTGGCCCCCCCAATTCTATATGTCACGAATTATTTTGGAACGGCTCACCTCATACAAATTTTACAAGCGATATTGATTTTAAGAAACTTGCCCATACGTCAAATCTAATTTATATATTAAAATAGGATTTTTTTTATGGCGGTTAAGGTTTTTAATACATGTTCTTTAAAATAATGCATGTTATTTTTATTTTTTTAGAGAATGGTCATTGATCTTTCAATTATAAGTTTTCACTAAATTTGTTCACAATTTTTTAATGTTCAACAAATTTTTAAAAATGTGAAATGTAATTTTCTAACAAATGACATACGATCATCGCATATCCTAAAGCATGAGTAATGATCTCAATGCTATATTAACTAGGGGAAGACTTGGAGATATCAGAAATTAGTAGGTTTGTTTTTAGTTTTTGTAAAAAAATTTCACTGATTTTTAATTTACAAACTGATCTGATCATGGCCATAGGCCCATGGGTCTATTTTTTTTGGTTTGCATGATGAGTTATACAATTCAGTGGCTCAAAGTCAAATTTTTTCTTTGGATTAACTTTACAATTTGATATGAAGATAACAACGCAATTGCTCCACCAGCTTCTGATATCAAAAGACAAAAGGTATTCACACAACCACATCTCACACCATTATTTTTTATTTTTTATTTTTTGCTAATCACAGATTATTATTAATGATATAAACCTGATCATATCTAATTTTTAGGTACATAAAATATTTTATAAAAATCATTAAATATAATTGAATCATAACAACACACCTTTATATAAATATAAACTTTCTAAAAATTAAATATCTATAACTTTCTATTGTATCCTTAAATATCTAGATTTGAGTAAAAATTACATGTATTTTATGCATTAAAAGTTTTCTTTTTATAAACTAATATCTCAATTATATATTTACGGAATACTTAGTTATAAAATTTAAATAATCTAATTAAAAATTATAAAAAAAACACCAAACTACCTAAAACAATAACGAAAAAATTTCCATCATCTGATTCCAGCAGATCATCCATGCCTATTTTTCTTAATAAGTTCAATTGGACCCATTAATTTATGAGAAGGAAATCCCAACTCGAATCGAGTATAAATTACGAAAACAAATTAATTTCAGCGCGATAAGAAAAATTACCAAATCCTGTGTGCTAATTTTGCTTTCGTTAGTTTTTTGTTCTGTTGTACGATGATTTTTCAAAAAGAAAAAAAGAAATATATATATATATATATAGAGAGAGAGAGAGAGAGAGAGAGAGGCCCGTGTACGACCCTTCATTCAAAGTCGAAAAGTGGAACCCCACGTGCGCACCTGTCACCACTGTCTGCTACAGAGACAAGACACCTTCGGGTGGATCCCACCACAAAATGACAACATAAAAAACATTACATGATTTTAATACGTTGAATATGTATCTATACAAATACAAAATACGTAATATCCATTCATGAAAGACAATCGTTAATCGTCTCCTTGTATTACTTTTTGAGATACGTTTTATAAGAAGAAAAATTTCAACAACTTTTTCTATTTATATAAATAATAACTTTTTATTCTTATTTTTTATATTTTTATAATTTTAATTAATAACTAAGAATGAGGTAATCATTATATTACTAACATTCCTCTTTTCTTTTCTTTTTCTCTAAGAGCAGAATTAGTATTGCAAGACAAAAAGGGTCCAAAACAAAATTCCAACATTATCCCTTCATTTTGTTCTTTCTGTCTCAGCATTTGGTGAAGAAAACAAGGAGTTAGTCGAGGGATTGAAAGGGAAATGACACCGAGCAAATATAGAATTAATAGGACCTATTTAATCCATAAAATTATAATTAAGATTCTTGTTGAAGGAAGTGGCAAGTGGTTGCATAATATAGGAGTCAAGTTAAGAATTATAATTCAAATGATTTGAAATTATGAAATGATATTTCTTATTGTATTAAAATTTTATGAAATTAGATTTGAAATTGTAATTATATATTTATAAAAAAACTTCCAAAATGTTAAATTATATTTTAATGTCCAATTCCGAAATCTGATTGATACATATTTTCTTGCATCAAATAGATACTTTAAAATAAAATAAAAATATCGTCTTATTATTAGCGATTAAAATAAGGAAGTATAATCGTGAATTGAAAAATTAACAATTAAAAATTGTGATTTGATTTCACATGTCAAACAAATTGTATAATTATTTGAATTTTAGTTGTTGTTTTTTTCAATCAATAATTATAATTTATTATTTCTTTAAAATGAAAATTCACTTTTAAAAAGGTAAAATCCTATTATACAATTTATTAAAAAAACAAACACATAATAGAAATATCTTATTTGAATCAGAGGTAGGAAAAATTCTTATCAATGTTTCTTGTTTTAAGAGGAAGTTTAATTTTCTTTTAAAAATTTATATTTCAACTTTGTGAACGAAAATAAAAGTATTAAAAGATTTGTACCTCTTTAAAATATTCACCTGCCTTATTTTAAATTTGATAAGACTTAGCGTAACTTTTAGAAATTGGGAATGTCAGTGTCGGATAAAAAGAGGAGATGATTTTAATAAAAAAATAAAATAAAACATATTTTTTAATTTGGTGTAAAAGTTAAAGAAAAAAATAAATAAAACTTTTATTTTTCTTCTTCTTGTGTAATATTTTCAAGCAGAAACAATTTTATTATTATTATTATACGTGTCTCTGTCAACCTAATAATTGAGGACATTTTATGCAGCACCTGGAATGTAGTTTGAAAAATGGTTGTAAGTGTTTCAAATAAGAAAAAAAAATCCAGGCACGATTCTATGGATCAGAAGCAATTATTATTAAATCTATAAGCTAAATTGAGAATTTTGTATTGAGTGCAATTGTAAAATTTACTATTAATGATAGGAGCTTACAACACTTTAAATTAAAATGATTCAAAATAAAGTTTATAAAAATTCGTCTAGACACAAATTTTGTCAACACGATTCTCAAAATTTTAAGTCAGAAAAAATGTAAAAAAATTAACATTCCCTTTTCTCTGTCTTTTATTTTTCCTTTAAACTTGAGGTAGGATGTTATTACTTTTTATTATACTAACTAATAGGATCATGCACGGGTCTAAAATCTTAAAATGTTTTTATGTTATTTTAAGTTTATCATGGTTTATGTGTTACTATTGAGACTCATGAAAATTGATTAAAATGTCTTATCTGTGTTTGGGTGAAGTAAATGTAGAGCGTGAAAAGCAGCACTGACAAGCGTAGGGGCCCATTTGAATTTAAACTGTGAAAGAACACTATTTATGTTTGATAAAAGTCCTAAAACGTAAAAACAAAGGCGACACTATTTATCGTACTGGGATACTTCAATGTTTTACTATTTTTTTACAACTTTTTCAATTTTATTTATTCACATTCTCTTTAAGAAAAACCAATCTCTGAGGACATGTCACATCGATTACCAAGTACAATGTCACTGATCCTTAGCGCTGACGGAGATTCTCTTTCAGTTTCGCCCAAGCACTATTCTTTCGTGCAAACATGCAGACTATTTTCTTCATTTCTAAAGATGTAGATCAATGGTAATTTATAATGTAAATAAAACTGCTAACTATGTTTCTTAACTATATCTTATTTATCAAAACGAAGATAATATATTTTTATTAAATTTAACAGTGTACCTCCCTCAAGTGAACGTTTTAATTGAGAGAATCTGAATTGATACTTCAGTGAATCTGAATTATAATAATAATAATAAAATGCAATCCACTTCAGTTGAACACCACTCGAACAAAATGGTTTGGGACTTTGGGTAAAGCCAACCAGACGTGAGGAGCAATGGCTACGGTGAGCTTTGGATTCCATTCATTTCTAAAGCTGTCAAACTCTCAACAACTGCAATTTGATTTTTATGAGTTGAATGATTCAGGACTGATGCCATAACATAAGCATTTCGCTAACCCAAATATTAAAAAGACTTAAGAATTCTGAGTAATTAAGATGCAGATGTTAAAAGAAAACTGCTGGCTGTGATCGATGCCATTTAGGATCTTTAAAGTGACGCATAAAAGTTGTGCGCTTATTTTAACATT